AATGTAACAAGGTGACTGTGATCTACTTGGAGTTTTCTCCTTGCTACATGGCCGGTAAGTGCTTCCAGATAACAAGTCTAGGTGACCCTAGGGCTTACCGCATTACTTTGTAAATTTAGTTAGTAGCTTTTGTCACTGTGACAAAATACATGAGACAAATAGACTTACAAGAAGACAAAATTTATTTTGGTTCACGATTCCAGAAGTTTCAATCCCTAGTTACTTGGTCCTATTGCTTTGGGCTTGTGGTGGTGTCACTGTAGAAATTCTGAGGAGGTCCTAGAGAGAGGACTTTAACTCATTATGACAGGATCCTTAGTGTAGGTGCCAGAAAAGGATTTAAGCATGCATCAGATATTGACCCACAGAGGCTTATTGAGAAAAGCAAGGAGTATACATTCAAAGGAGAATGTGGACTGTCTTGAGAGTGAGACATGCTTTTGGGGTCTTGGGTAAATCAAGGGAAACTTGGGGTATGCATGGGAAAGTGGGTGGGCATGACAGCCGTTTGATGATCACAAGATGGCTTATGGCGTTCTGACAGTTCTCAGGATCCTTAGGATGACGTCTTCTCTGTCATCTCATCAATAGATAACACTGGAAAGTACCCTAGGTTACAGGTTTCATTTCTCCCTTTGCTCAGTCTACCCTAAAAATACATCTATTAGTGGGTTAATTCATAGTGAACAGGGCAATTTTCATAAGTGGGTGAATTTATAGTAACTTTAAATGAAGATGTGTAGACTTTCCAGAAATTTGAGAGTGACAGGTCTGGGAGAGAGAACGGGCTTGGTGACTGAAGGTATGAGGAACATTGGCATAAGACTTTCAGATAAAAGTTATTAGCTTTCTTGTTCATCCTTTTGTCTCTTTTCTGCTTTTCCATCTTACCTCAGTAGCATAGTACGTCACGGTGGGAGCTCATGGCAGAAAAGACTGCTCACCTCACGGTGGCCAGGAAAACAGAGAGGAAAGGCCAGGGTCCCAGTATCCCCTTGAAGGGTATATGTCTCCAGTGACCTAGCTTTCTTCCACGAGGCTGTACCTCCTAAAGGCTCCCCACCTCCAAATAGCACCACAGGCTGGGGACCTAGATTGAACACACAGGCCTTTGGGGAACATTTAAGATAGGAACCATAACACTTGTCTCCTCTGATGAGGGTGGGTGGAGTGCAGGCTGGTCACCTGGAACTGATCTTGAAGGCACCTCAGGAAAAAGGTAAGTCCCACTTTCAAAAAGTAGGACTGTTTTAGAGTTCTAATTTAGACAAGAAAGTGGGACTTTTGAGTTTATTTACTAGTTCTACTATCTCATTTCTTCATAATTACTTTCATCATTGTTAATCCCTTCTTATTGTCTTCCTTAATTTTAATCCTTTTATGACTTCATTTATTTTTATTCTTCCTTGTCTATTAGAAGCATTTAAGACTGTGAATTTTCCCCTCAGGGGTTCCTGTAGCTATTTCCATAGGTTTGGATATGTGTTATTTTTGTGTTATTTCTCTAGATAGTCTGTAATTTTGATTTTCTTTTTCTCTTCGACTGAGAATTATTCTACAGATTTAAAATTCTTTTTTTGACATGGTAGAATTTTATGTTTCAGCCTTATGGTTTTGATGTTAATTTTTAGTCGTGTTGCATTATAAATAAGGTATCTGCACTGTTTATAATCTTTGAAAATGTGTGACATTTTCTTTGCAGCTTAAAATATGGTCCTTATGATTTTTACCACAAATCTTTGTAAATAAAAGTATTAATCAGAGTATAAATTGTTAGTTAATTTCAGATGAGTTAATGTTATCAATTTGAGCATACAAAATACATTTAAATTAAAAAAACAATATATTTATATATAAATATGTGTGCCTCTGTGTGTGTGTGTGTTTTCTTTGGGTACCAATATAAGATTATATTTTAAAAATGAGATTCAGTATTTAAAAAAAAAAACTCAGGAAAGCTACTAGGCTATGTGACCCCAAAGGTCATCTAGAATGTGTAGAATATGAATATAGATTTGTGTAGGCCCCAGAGTAGAGTGACCTTGAGTTGAATTGAGATGAAAAGGTAACTAAAGTATACTTACTTCTCATTTTTGATTACTTTTTCTCTCCATGCAATAAACTAATAAAAAAAATCTAGATTACACAGACCCAGGCCAGGTGCCATGCCAGTCTTATCAACAATAAGAGCACATTAAACAGTTTTTAATTGGTCTTGGGAAAAGCAAAGGTGAAATGAAAATTTAATTCTCCTGGGCCTTTGTTCAAAATGTGTTTTTCCATCTCTGTTATAAGGGACGAATGTTAATTGGCTTGATTCTCACTGTTTGGCCATGAATTTGTAATCTGTGTTCACACTTTGGGAGGAGAAAAAAAATTGATGAAAAGAATGGGACAGTAATGGGAATCTTGTCTGAGCTGAACAAATTGGGATTATCAAATATGTTGCAGGATAATGGACTTACTGCAGTTGGGGAAATGAACAGCATCAGGGCTGGTGACAGAAAACACTGTCTTTCCCCAAAATGATGTTCTTCTACCTGGCACAGTCTTGTCTTGCACAAAGTGATGGCACCATGGTGTGCCAGACAGGCACGAGTTTGAATCCTGCCTCTGCACCTTTCTGGCAGGTCATTTAACCCCCTACCTCTGAATTTCCTCATCTGTAAAATGAGGGCAATAATATACACCTTGCAGCATTGTGAGGATGGAAAGAAGTGAATTATATGAATGTGCATGATGCATAATAGGGGCTCAGAAAAAGACTTAAGGAGAATTCAAAAGGACAGATCTATGGCTGGGCCGGGAGATACTTGAAAGAGCCCTAACTTGTTTATAGTTTTGAGAAAAAAGAGGTGGTTAGAAGCAGGGATGTGGGATGTGTGCGCACAAGTGTGTGTGTGTGTGTGTGTGTGTGTGTGTGTGTGTGTTGAGGGTAGGGAAGTTTGTAGGTCTGACCTAGATCACCTTCTTCTCAGTTTCTCTGGAGCATCAAGCAACCAGAGGCTTTTGCAGAGGAGCCCACTCAGGATTCTAGTCTGGAGTTAGGAAAGTCCCCAGGGTCCCATCTACCCCCATCATGTTATCCTGTGAGTTTTTCAGGACAGGTAGAATGTCATTGAGATCCTTTAGCTAAAAACATGTACCAATAAGGAAATGAGTTAGGAGTTTCTTTGCTAGAAAGGAGGTCGAATAGCACACATGGGGGATGGCGAGGCCTCTAGCAAAACCTATTATTTAGGGTGCTACGGAGAGCTGTGAGAGAGGAAGAAGATACATTCCTTGGCTTTGGAGCTTGTAATTCAACAGAGAGAACAAGTATATAGAGAGACAGAAAACACTGTGGCCATATAAGAAGCTAATTATAGAGATCTGGTGGCCATATAGCCTTCCCTCCCTAGGACAAGTAATCCCCAAGGTCATGAACTGTGGGGCCAGGTTCAGAAAACAGACTCCCTATTTCTGTGTGTGTCATTCAGGATACATTTCCCAAGCACCTGCTATACTTATAGGGTTCCCGTCTGTGAGGAGTTAAGAAGTGGGTTCAAGGGTCAGATCCAGGTTAATTTCAAGTTTTTCTCTCACTTTTTAAAAAACTGAGTATTTTTAAGATGTGCTACATAGGATTTTTACACACACACACACACACACACACACACACACACACACACACAGTGAAATGATTAGTGTAGTCAAGCAAATTCAATCTGCCATCTTCCAGAGTGACAGGGTATGTGTGTGGGGGCTAAAATCTATTCTCTTAGCAAAATTTCAATGTACATTACAATGTTATTAACTATGGTCCTCCAGCTGTACATTAAATTGCTGGATTTATTCATCTTTTACTTTGTAACTTTGTACTCTTGACCTGTGGGTTCCTATTTTCTTCTCCTTCCTGCCTCTGGTAACCACTCTTCTGCTCTTTGCTCCTCTGTGTTTGACTAACCCTAACCCTAACGCTAACCCTTCTGTCCTTCTTTCAAGATTCTGCACAGAAGTGAAATCTTGCTCTCACACCCTCTTTTATGATCTTGGGAAAGCACCTAGCTACCCTTTAGGTACCCCCAGGTCCCTCCTCTTTAAAATGATAGGACCAGGGTAGCCACTGTGATAATATAAGGATGTTTCAGCACAGGGCCTGTGTTGGAAAAGGGATTAGTTTACTGTATTCAAGCTGGTGGTTCATGACTTAGAGCACACCCCCCCCAACCCTCCCCCCCCCCTTTCAGCAAAGTCTGGAGAAGTTTTGGCCCTAGTATTTAAGTGTCTGTCCTACAATGCATAGGATTGTCTCCCTCTACTCTTCCCCACCTCCCAGTCCTCTGATTTTAGAATTAATAGGTGAAAACCTTAGAGATTTTCCTTTCTCCAAAGAGGAAAAATGTCATATAGTAGTTTTTCTAAGGCAGTGGCCCTGTCCCGACATTCCCACATTAGCCTGCTCCTGCTGTTCCTGATGTTTTGGGCATAACTCCCTCCCCTCGGAGCATCCCAGTGGATTGTGCCATCCTCATCCATATGCATGTTCCCAATTAAAGATTTGCAGCAGTCTGTGTCGTGGAGTGAAACCGAAAGAAGGGACCCCGCGCCCCTGCCTTTTGGGGTTCGGATCCCTCAGCGGGAAGGGACGGCAGGACCAATTCTGCTCCAGGCAGGTCACACTCCAGCCATTCATTGCAAACACCCTGAGTGCCCCAAAGGCAGGGTACCTAGGAGCGAGCGCTTGCTGGCTCCTCCAGGGAAGCCCGGCCGGTAGCAGACTCGAAGGCATGTGTCAGGGCAAGCCACCGCCAAGACCTAACATTTGAAGGGACCGCGACTGCTGTGGGAGTGAGGGCGGGGCGGGCGAGGGGGAAGTTTGTCTTTCTCAAAGTCCCCAGTGAGCGCACTCCAGCTTCCCTGGGGCTGCACTTCCCCTGGAATGCACATCAGGGCAGACCCCAAGTGCTGGTTAAGCAGTGGCCGCGTGGCGTGGGTGACAGCGGAGGTGGGCCATCGTCTTCCGGAGACGATGCCTGTGTGTTGAGTCAAACCCGGTGGCTGGGCTAGATCTGCAGCCGGGCAGCTGAGCACGATTGACCGTGGTTAATGTTTGATCACTGACTTCCCCGCCTCCTGCCTACCGCAAACCCAGAAAGGGTGCTCTTGGAGGGCGGGTCAGGGCGAATGCCAGGAAGCTGGAGGGGGACAGGAGGGCTGCAGCAAAGTGAGTGCCCACTGCAAAGAGGGGCAGGGCGGGATCGCCAGGGGCTGCGGGTGTCTGTCTCAGCCGGGCTGGGAGAGTAGAAACTCCTTCCTCCTCCTCCTCCTCCTCCCCCTCACTCAGGCACACTCATCTCAAAACCCCACCCCCAGGCTCCACCAGCCTCTTCTAGGTTGGTCTGCTCCAGGAAGCTTTCATGAAATTGCTGAAATACTGAGTTATTTTTTTTTGGTCAAGTGAACTCAAGTGAGAGAAAGTCCTGCGTCCACTTGGGAGTTGCCGCCAAAGAACTCTGGGCTCTGCTGGGAGAAGAAAAGAAAGTTGGAGAAGTTTTTGAATCTGGCAGCGTGACTCTCTTCTTAATGGCTTCATCCAGGAGCTCCAGCAGTGACTGCTCCACGGTCATTGATCACAGCCATGTCCCAGCTTTTGAGGTGGCCACCTGGATCAAAATCACCCTCTTCCTGGTGTACCTGATCATCTTTGTGGTAGGAATCCTGGGGAATAGCGTCACCATTCGGGTTACCCAGGTTCTGCAGAAGAAGGGCTACTTGCAGAAGGAGGTGACAGACCACATGGTGAGTTTGGCTTGCTCAGACATCTTGGTCTTCCTCATTGGCATGCCTATAGAGTTTTACAGCATCATCTGGAACCCCCTGACCACACCCAGCTACTCCTTGTCCTGTAAGCTTCACACTTTCCTCTTTGAGACTTGCAGCTATGCCACGCTGCTACATGTGCTGACGCTCAGCTTTGAGCGCTATGTGGCCATCTGTCATCCCTTCAGGTATAAGGCTGTTTCTGGGCCCTGCCAGGTGAAACTGCTGATTGCCTTTGTCTGGGTCACCTCTGCCCTGGTAGCATTGCCCTTGCTTTTTGCCATGGGTGTTGAGTACCCTCTGGTGAATGTGCCCAGTCATCGGGGTCTCAGTTGCAACCGTTCTCGAACCCGCCACCATGAGCACCCTGAGTCCTCCAACATGTCCATCTGTACCAACCTCTCCAGCCGCTGGACTGTGTTCCAGTCCAGCATCTTTGGTGCCTTCATCGTCTATCTCTTGGTTCTGGTCTCCGTGGCCTTCATGTGCTGGAACATGATGCAGGTGCTCCAGAGGAGCAAGCAGGGCACGCTGGCTGGGACCGGGCAACAGCTGCAGATGAGAAAGTCAGAGAGTGAGGAGAGTCGGACTGCCAGGAGGCAGACTATCATCTTCCTGAGTGAGTCACTGTGGAGGGCGATCTGGGAGCAGCACCCCACCTTCACCTGAACCATTTCCTATGGTCCTCTTGTTGAGACGTCTTGCCCTAAAAGTCTAAATTTAAGTTCATTGAGGCTGAAGTCATAGCAGAATTAGGGCATTGATATTGATCTGTGTCTTTGGATGATTCTTCTCTATGTTTTGGGAATTTGTGGTGGGTTATGATGAAAAAGAATACTAAACTGGGGTTAGAAGGTCTGGGACACAATTTCTGTGACATTGAGCAAGTCACAGAATATCTTGGGTAAAATAGACATAAAACTACTGGGAAATAAGAAGGATAAATTAGGTAACGCAGAGGTGAAAGTCCTTTGCAAAGGCCAAGTTCTGCAGAGATCAAGGGAGCCCTTTATCTATCTGTCTCTATCCTGAAGAGCCTTTCTTAGGCAATTAGATTTTGTTCCCACTCTTCTCCTCTGGAGAAACCAGGCTGCTATTTTATTCCCCCTGGAGTGATCCTCTACTTTTTTTTTTTTTTTTTTTTTTACCAAAACAAACAACAACAACAACAAACAACTGGAGTTTTCAGACATGCCCTGCCCAGGACCCTGGGTTTCTGAGGCAGTGCATTGTTTCTTACCAGAGCCAAGAAACAGAGCAAGACTGCATGGCCTCTTGTCTGATTTGGACATTGCAGCTTTGCAGATTCCTGGGACTTGACTGATTTCCCAAAGTATCCAATTCCCATGCAGAGAAAGTTTGTTTGTTTTCCCAACTTTGTTGTGATACAGGATTTAAAATACTGAGGGCTTTTCTGGGTTTAATGGGGGTATTTCAAAGGAGCCTGTGGTCTGTGAGGCCCCAAAGTCTTCAGAAAAGGGACTTCATTGCTAAACTTGGGAGACTGGGTTTTTAACCCAGGACATGTGAAGTGTGTGAGTAAAGGGTTTAAAAAAAATTTTTTTTTAAAGCAAAAACAAGAAAAACAGCTTTGGGTGTGTGTGAGTCAAGAGGGAGTTGATACTGCAAATGTTTCTTCCACTTTGCAATGTGGTGGCGGGCGAGGGGATAAATCATGGTGCTGTTTGTTTTGGTGTGGGAAACTTGAGTGACTGGTTCCAGAATCAGGGGTTAGACAGGGCAGAATATTGGACGGCAGGCAGGTTTTGTGTCAGCCCAGCTCCTGGCTTCTGGTGTATAGGTGAAAGGCTGATTTGATTTTAATCTAAGTGTGCAAAATGAGAGGGGGGAGTCCTGCAGGTTTTGGATGCCAACTCTGCCTCAGGGGCTGTGCTGGGTGATTTATGTTTCCATTTTATAGAGGAGGAATTTGTGGCTTACAGAAGACAGATCAAAATCTTCTTGTATAGCACCCAAATTCTCCTCCCTATGCATCTTGGGGCAGGAAAATGAGTGTCTGGCCATGACTTTCACAGGCACTTGGCAGAGGGAAAATGAACTAAGGCTTCAACAACAAAGGTGCTACCTAGGCTAGATGGTGGAGTTGCTCTTCCTCTGGCCAGCCTCACTGGAAGCTGGAGAAGGGAGTCCTGGCAGGTAAGATCGTGTGGGGATGTGGGAAGGACACTCGACCCTGCTCCATCTTTGCTGCCCACTGGCTGCTGTCCAAAACATGAAGGAATGGACATCACACTTGCTTAACACTTGAATGTTTGTTAAAAGGCCAGTCCTCTCTTTCTCCATATCCTCTTAGGCATATCTTAAGCTGTTGGCTGTAATTTCTACATTAATGTGAATGAATTTTCTTTTTTTTTTCCCCCTCCCAGTCTAACTTAGGAATCCTGGCTACTTTGACCAAAGGGGGGGGAAAATAATTGATTTACTTTTGTTCTCTATTTGGCCAATCTTTATTTATTTATTTTTTTGTTTCTTTGAATAGATGTCAGTGAGTTCCTTCCTCCGTGGGTGTTCCAAGTTGAAGTCAGTCTCCACTGGCTAGCATAAAACCAGAATGTCACAGACTTTCATTTGGAGATGGATAGGTTCATGGGGCTCATCCCCTCCGGTTAGTAATGGCCAGGAAAGAGTTTGATCTCAGGGTGCTCTTCTTCTTTACTTCTACCTCTTTCCCTCTCTCTCATGACAACTGTATATTAATCATCCTCTGTGTAGCCAGCAGCAAGATTGTTGAAGGGCAGTCAGGTGCTCCACGGGTGATAATATCTTGGGGGAATTTTATCTTTTATATTTAGCCCATTTCCTCAGCAGTAGGTTTTCAAAGCAGTTCTTCAAAATGTCCCCTTCCCCCAATGAATTTCAAAGAGCTTTTAAAAATAGGGACCCTCACTAATTAACTCAAGTTAGGAAATAAATTAATGGAGTGAAGAGGAAGAAATCATGGCCCGCTTCCATCAGATTAATACAATGCAATTTACTCTGTGGGTTTCATAAAACTTGTGCTTTGGGGCATTTTTAACCCAGAACAAATGAACATACAAATTGTTTACAAATCGCTGAGTTTAATATAGTGATTTAGCTGTCTTTTTTAGTATTTCATTTAACAGATGGGTCAAATCAAAACTAATATTTGCTCATTTCAAACGTATTTTGGATTTAGTGTGAAGTGTAAATGACGACATAGCACAAGATGTCTTTGGAGCTCTTGAGGCAATAAAAAGACAATTAAGGGTTTTCTTCCTCCCTCATGGTTAAAAAATCCTAACTTCTGCATAATGTGAATGAAATTCATAAATCTACCCAGGATGAGGAAGTCCATGTAGAAAACATTAATTACCCTTTCTGCATCTTTTGCCATTGTGCCTCCGTTGAGTTGAGATGCTGGACTGATAAATAATGAAAACAAATTGAGAACTCTGGGAGATGGAAAAAGTGCTGGGATGCCTCTGAAATCTCAAGCAATTTTCAGAAGAAAAAAATAATGATTCAAAAGTGCACATTCCTGGAAACGTGAGTTCTCTTCTTGTCTCTTGTTAGCTCAGTGAGAAATCAGCACCAGGCTTATCTCCCCTTACAAGGTCACTGCTAATGTGGCCATGGTGATACTTGTCCAGTGTCGGAACAGAAGTTGCTGGTCTGGCTTTCTGCCTCTTCTGAGGAAAAGGAACCAGCGCATAGAGCTCTTTTGCTCTTGGATGTTGAGCATGTGCAAAACGAGGTTTCCTTTCAAGGAAGGCTTTCCTAGAATTTCCCTTCTTATTTTTCTGAACTTTCCCTTGGAAGGATTCTCAAATACATATGGCACCCAGGTCCTTGGACACATGGTTTCCTGTCAAATGTCACCCACTCAAAGTCAAACAACAGAGTGGTTGAAGATACAGTTTTAATTTGTAACTTCAAGAGCATAAAGTGACCTCATACAGGGCAGTGACTGGCTTTTAATAGACGTCATGAAGAAAAGATTTTTTACAGATAATCATGAAGTTAGAAAATTAAAGGAACGTTCTGGAAGACTGAAGACTCCACAGTAATTGCACTTTTTTACATTCTGATTTGGTCTTCGGAGTCAGAGGGAAAGGGAAGAAATTCCATCTAGTGGTAGAGATTGCACACCAACTTGGGCTGCTCATAGGAGAATATCTTAAAAGATGGTCGTCTTATGTGCTTCTCTGGAAAAAAAGGTGAGAGTTGCTGCTTTCATGGACTACTCTAAAAATAAGGTTGACGTATGTTTAGATATTCCTGGAAACAGGGAGAAGGAGATCAGAGTCACATCCTCTGGGTTTTCGGACCCTAGTTTAGAAGCCAAACCAAAGGAGGGGATGAGAGAGGGATGAGAGGGAGAGGGAGAGGGAGAGGG